TCTTATTCAAAATGGAAAATCAAATAGCACCCTTGATTTGTTATGATCATCCCTATATAAAAAAAATACTTACCACCGCATTTAAGTTATTTTTAATATAAATTTCAATTTGCATACTGTATCATATAAATATGGTTACCGGTAATAAACTGACTCATAAACATTGATATATTAGACCCTGATGACCCCAGAATTAAATATTTCTTATTATGGAAGATTAAATTCTTATTAAAAAATAAGAATATAATCTTAAAATTTGTAATACAACACTGACCTGGTTATGATTCAGAATGAAATATGTACCAAGATAAATATCCGATTAAGAATAAAGACAAAATATAAAAATCTACTGTTTGAGAGAGGAGTCCCAAGATGATATCAGAAGTAAATATAGACGATTATAAAACGTTTACATTATTTTACTATTCAGTCAAAATAATGTTGAAATTTAATAAAACTTGTTTTGATATACTAAATTATTTAGTGGACCTAGAATGGAAGAGATACGATTAGAAATGATTAAAATTAATAATAATAAAACATTAAAAAGAAAAAAAGGTACATAGTGACTCCCAAGTAGATGCTTCCGTGACCACTACAATTTTATCTCATTCAAATATAGGGTCAACCGTTATCTTTCTCATATATCCTTACAAACTGCTCTTAACGGCTTATGGCCATACACGTTTAAACACCGGTTCTTGTATTATCATCGAAGTTAAGCAACATCGATCATTGTTGTATGGGTGACCGCTTTATTAATACCAGGTTATGTAAGCGTGAACGTTTATGAACATTCTATATATATATATATATATATATATATATATATATATATATATTAATATAGGCTCTAATTGGATCCCATTTTATTTCTAGTTGGGTTCAATATATTCACTATATATGCCATATCCACACCTCAAATATAGAATAGTAAAACTTGTATCATTAAATCATTATTATCTCATATATGTGCCATTTCCTCGTGATACACGCTTTGATTTTCATGTATCTTTCGATAAAATGACTTCAGCATTTTTTCCCGTCTACGTTGCCATTTCATTCTGCACAGACCAGTTTGCCATCAAGGCTATAGAACCCGGCATGTTCTATTATTGAAGGACTTCAATGTTCAACTTTTATATTTATATTCACTTTTATACCTATATTTACATACATCTCTGATATTGATCATTTTATCCCATAAATAGAGCACACCTTAAAACTAAATATATATATATATATATTCGGTTGGATTGATATGAGTTTGTGACCTTGGGTTTCACGCTTTTGCGATCGTCAGACAAACTGATTAATCTTTTAAAAATTTGGTTTTATGCAGATTGCGTGTATTGGTGTTATCATGGGATTTAAAAATCGTCGTCGTGATGTCACCGTGCTAACGCAAACATACATGCATGTCCATATGTTAGCTCTATCTCTGATATTGAGCGCTTTCTAATAAGTAAATTCATAATATATTTATATATATATATATATATATATATATATATTAAATATATAGAAAATAGGAAGGAACTGGTTAGGTAAATTATCCAAAAATTTAGTATTTTATTTATTATTTTTTAAAAAATAGTGCTCGATACAAAAGTAAAGCATAAATATAATTATTTATTTAAAATATGATTTCAATTATTAAAACTTTTAAATTTCAAAAATACGTTATTCCCCAAAAATTTCCTTGAAGATGGAACATCCTCACTTTAACTCAATTTAATTCAAATAATTATATTGAAGTTTTCGGCTCTTGTTTTGAAACATGAGACCTCTTATGTCGCGAGTTGGAATCATATTTTAAATAAATAATGATATATATATATATATATACACACACACTTTTCACATATATTTATATATAAAGGTGTTCTAAAATTATCTGCACAACTTCTTTGCATGTTAAAAACATTAAAAATTTAATTTATATATATATATATATATGTGTGTATGTGTGTGTGTGTGTGTTTTAATTCACTTTCGTTTGTATTTCCAGTTTTCAGATAGATGTTTGAAGTGGTTATTATTAATCTCAGACTTAATGAAAATGCCAACGACGCAAGACAAAGTCTAGTGTGTATTCTGGTTCATCGAGACCAAATGGGTCATTAAGATCCAGCGGAATTACAGTACAAAGTATAAAAACGCACACAGAGACAGCAATTTGTGTCAGCATCCATATCTGGCACAAAAAAGTTTAAGGAAACAGGAACTGTCTTGCAGAAAACAGAAATTGAGAATTATCTAAATGTGTTTCTTGCAACCAATGGTGCCAATATGATAGTGTTCCGATGTATTCAAATATTTTTTTTATTTTTCATATATCTTTTGCAATAAATCTTGCAAAGTTATATTCATTTTGGGGATTTAAAAAATGTGTGTGTGTGTCCGCTGAAATAGAGTATTTAAATTATTCAATAACTAGCCGAAATACCATTCTACGTCAGGTAATAGATCGAAACTTAGATATCAATTTGTTGTAAGGACAGTTGAACAATTCCTTAGAATTTGTAATGTCGAGATTATTAAACTCTCTCATAGATTATGAAATACAAAACTACTGGATATAAATAATCCTGAAAAGTAGTCGGATATAAAGTCTAATACTAGGGTCAAAGGAGGCAAAAGGGGTGACTAAGAAATGTCTGTTCTGCAATAACATTATTATAAGAGTCATAGTTCATTTTCAGCATCACTGGTCATGCACAGTGACAGCATAATAGCAATTAGTAGCTGAAAAGAAAGCCAAAATAGATTTCGTTATTAAGCTTCAAATAACGAAATACTAGAAAAATAAAACTAGAAAAAAATTCTGTGGAAAGTCTGTGAAATCGGTTATCCGGACGTGGTATGGAGAGAAAAATCATCCACGCTAAAATCGCTCCAATATATCATCTCAGACGACCGTTTAGAGATCTTTCATTTTATCATAACCATTTCACCCCAAGCAAGGCACTAAAACCAGTAAAACAAAGGAGATTACTGAGTGTGAGAGAATATGAGACAAAGAAGACATTATTAAGGTGAAAGGACAATATAAGAAGATGAATTAATAATACTGAAGATAATCATTGACATTGCATTTAAATTTTTGAAAATCAAAGGTGATTGAAAAGCAAGAAGTCGGAAGAATGTTCTACAAGCGTGAGAGGAAACTGTTTGCATAGAACTTCTGATTATATCTCACCATTTCGACTGTAAAATAATAAGACCTTGCCGCCAATATGATGGTACGCTTAAATCCGTAAATTTTACGCGCTTAAAATTTTTAAATGAATTAAAAAAAATATGGCGATAAAAATATTTATAGAAAAATGACGCTAAAATGCGATTCTTAAACTTTAGGAAAACCAAAATGCCAGGTCAAGACCGATAATATTGCAGATTCTTCTTTGTACTTTATCAATAATCTAAAAAATAGCTGATCATTTGAAAAGATTTGATTGCATTATTCAAAGTGAATGGTAAACTCATTTTGAATCTAAAATATTCAGACGCTTAAAATTTGTCTAATACAACGCAGTTAACCTACAAATGCAATTTGATGATATTAATGTCAAATTTCTTTCAGAAAATGACATTTTTTGGCATTTATTTATATAATATATATTTATATAAAATATTTTTAACCTCTATCTTATATATATATATTACAATGAATCATTCATACAAAAAAGTAGATTAGTAAAGTTAATGATATAAAAATTTATTTTCGAACGAAAAAAATGAAATCCTTTCGCAAACAAAAAATTAAAGTTGCATTAACCTACAAATCACTCGATGAATGTTATGATCCTTGTTTTTAATAATTATAAGCTGTATAAGGTCTTTTTTTAATAAAGTACATTCAAGTACTTTCAACTGTACATTCAGTCATCCTCAGGCATGGAAATTATTTTTTTTTTTATTAAAATTCCAGGTAGCATCAGAGACGAAAAATTAAATGCGAATCGAAATATGTTTTTTTTTTTTATTTTTAGAAATGTGCCATTGTTAACGAATAAAATCTTTTGGAGCGTGGAGTCGCAACGCTAAGGTTGAATTTTTTTGAAAGTTTAAGAGCGTTTATACCTAATATGGTAATTTGAGAATTTTTTTTTGTTGTAGGAGTTTATCAGTCAATGTGGCATGAACTAAATTGTTCAATAAGTAGAGTAATGTCTCAGTTGTTATTCCGAAAATTTGCACGTCGGATCAGTTCTTTTAAATCAAATATGTGGTGCAGTTCAATTTATATTATTTAATGAATCATTCATACAAAAAAGTAGATTAGTAATGTTAACGATATAAAATGGTAAATATATTCGCAAACAAAATTTGAAAGTTGCATTAACCTATAGTTCTCAATATTAAAATCGATGAATGTTATGATCCTTTGTTTTTATTAACTAATAACTGTATAAGGTTTTTTTAATCTGCAAGTTCTTTCAACTGTCGATTCAGTCATCCTCAGGCATGGAAATTATTTTGTTTTTAGTAAATCCAGGTAGTATCAGAGACGAAAATGTATACTATTTTGGGTCATTGTAATTGATCTTTCTAATATATAATTATAAATTGTTGTTAGAAATCCTTTTTCTCTTAAAAACTATTTGCTATAAGAAATATTAATAAAATTCAATCGATAATGCAACAAAATGTACTAATATTCAGTCAGAATATCAGATCTTTATTAATCCGAAAACCTGACTTTGTCGAGAGAAACGGTCGTCATTTTCGGATTCAGAGGTGAAAAAATGTTTTAATTAATTAGGAAGTACTGACATCTTAAAAAATATTTTGTGTTGCCCACTGAAGGTTTTGATTTATATATTTTCTTTCATTTTAGAAAAATATCATGGCCATGTATATTTTGCTAAAGAGGGAAAATACTATTGAATTTTTTTAAGAAAGTAAATATTTTAAATGTCCAAGGTGTATATTAACATATATAAATCGATATAGCATTCTCAATATATTTCCGTTTAACTACGTCATTTCCGCTTTTAATCGGTTTTCTTATTGATATATTTATAAAACAGAAAGAAAACTAAAAGAAATGTACCTCATTATAAAAACATATATAAACTATCTTTTCTTTTTAAATTAAAAGAATGTTGTCTGTTTGTTTAGCGGCAACGTCAAATTTTTATGTGTTATTTAAAGCTGAAATGTAATTTTCTTGGGAGCGTTAATCTTTTAATTTCTTTACAAAAAATGTAATGTTGTTAATTTGTTTTTTATTTTTTCAAAAATGTATTGTGGGCAATTTTTTTTTTTTTTTTTTACTATGAAGATGTATTGATGGTATTTTTACAATAGAAATATATTTTTATACTTTCGTAGTGTTTTGAACCCAGTCTGGGTGTTAACTATTTGCCCATAGCTGAACCCAAACAGGTGCTAACACCACGGATTATTTAAATACCTAAGAACAACAGCAATTAAGAGGTGGTTCCACACTTTTCAAAAACATCCAATTTAAGGCCTTGCTGTCGGAGGTAAATTTATCCTCATAATCAGGATGAAAATTAAAAGAAAAAGGTTAATTCAAAATTTTCTGTTATTTAATATAATTTAAAAGGTAATTAAAATACAATTTTAATTAATCATAATATTAATATAAAAAAATGAGTAAATAAATAAATATGACGTTTTTTTTTTTCTTTTGCACTAATAACACCCAATGCTAAGGTAATGTCATAAAAAAAACAGGAGGTTATATGGCGTTGAGGAATTTCAACGGAAACTATAATGATGAACAGAAAGAAAAAAAAGACTTCCAGGAGGACGGTTCAGACAGTTCGCCATTGAATTTAAATTTTGAAGATTTTTGGCTGGCAATCATGGAGCCGGAAAGGATTTCCTCAAATGATTAGTGTGAGAAAAGAAACAACATATAATTTACAGTTACAACTAGCCCGATCAACTCTAAATTGAGCAGATCATTACACCGGTTTAAATACTGCGCTTAAATTAAAGAAAACAAAAAACAACAAAAAAAAACTTTGAAGTACAAAACAATTATCAAAAAGATTTATTTATTCATAGAAAATATGCATTGGGAAAACTGAAATCTGAAACCGAGGCACCATATGTCGACCAATAATATTGCGGATTCTTCTTTGGATTTTTTTCAAGGAGATCAAGGTAAATATTAGGGCACCTGAACATATGTGACAACGATATTCTAAACATGGATGGATGGTAGACATTTTAGATATCTAAGAAAAATTATCTCCAGACACAGTGAACCGATTTTTAGCAGCTGACTTATCAATGGATTCAGTATAGTCTTTCCAATTTACATCAGCAGAGAACGTAACACTGAGAAGATTTCCTGGAGTTTACCATCAACCATAATTTGAGGAACGTGGAGTCTCTCAGATGTTTAATGTAGAGACGTTTAATTAAAATTAACAAGCAAATTTTCCTGAGTTAACAACGGACCTGAGGTTGTTTTATATATAAACATAAGAAAATATAAAATACAAAATAACCGTATTTATTGAATTTGTTTATTAGGCCTACAAATTCCTAATAAAACAAAAAATAGGTAAAATACATTTTTAAAAAGCATCTTCCATAATTTACCTTGGTTTTCTCAGTTAGAATATGAATGAACCTTCTTAACTTTTGATATGTTCCGTAAGCAAATGAATGAATGATTCATTGTAGTTAATAAATGTAATCACATATAAATTAAATGTTACGTCATCATTGTTCAAAATTCAGGGCTTGAAATTCCGTTTCTTTGAACCTTTTAAAATGATCAGCGTCAGAGGTGTCTCTCTTCAATGTCCAACAAAAATCAGCCATCAAAACTGATCTCCGCCTTCTCCTATATGTCCGGCATCCATGCACAGTAAAAGTTTTCCGCTCATTATACATAACGATGGAATTTCAGCTGTATCTTCCTGGTTTTTGAGTATAAGTCCTCATTCTGCTTATTTTCTTGTAAGAATATCTGATTACTCGTTCCGTTCATAGAAGTTTCAAACAACTTCTGATGCTTCTATTTTTTTAAAATCGATGGAATTTATTCATTAAAACGATTGAGGAACATCATTTTCCTCACTTAGAACCCACATATAGATCATGCACTAAGTGGAACAGTGAAATATCTATGCTAAAAAGATTGTTTGAAGATACCAATATTTCTACAGTGGAATGTCATAAGATAATGAACAAATTGATATAGATAGATAGATATATATATATATATATATATATATATATATATATATATATATATATATATATATATATATAGATAGATAGATAGATAGATAGATATGCAGAAAATGAACATACTATAATAGATATATATATATATATATATATATATATATATAGATAGATAGATAGATAGATAAATAGATAGATAGATATATTTAGACTGAGAAAGATAGATAGAAAGAAAATGAACATAGATAGATAGAGATAACGAGACTGAGATAGATATATAGATAGATATATATAAATATCTGAGATAGATAAATAGATAGAATTTAGATAGATAGATAGATAGATAGAATGATTAAAAGTCTGAGATAGATAGATAGATAGATAGATATCAAGAAAAGGAACATACTACAATAGATAATAGATAGATAGATAGATTCTTTTATAGATATAACAAAACTGAGAAATGATAGATAGATAAAGAGAGATAACGATAACATTTAGATGAATAGATAGATAGATAGATAGATAATAGATCGATAGATAGATAGATAGATAGATATAAATAGATCTGAGATAGATAGATGAGATAGATATAACGAGACTGAGAAACATAGATAGATAGAAAGAAAGGAAATAAAATAGATAGATAGATAGATAGATAGATAGATAGATAGATAGATAGATAAAATAGATAGATATAACGAGACTGAGAAAGATAGATAGATTTAACAGATATAACAGACTGAGATAGATAGATAAGATAGATAGATAGATAGATAGAATAGAAAGAAAAAGAAAGAAAGAAAGGTAACAAAGATAGATAGATAGATAGATATATAAATAGATAGATAGATGGTCACCTACATGACTCTTTATATGACAGAAAATATATTGATGTCATTCTTGGCTCCTGTGAATGCTTACAATATTTCAGACGAGAGAAACATAAAAGATTGATCTCACAATTACGACTCACACACAAACGGCTGTCGGCGTAACAAGTCAATTTTTGAAAGAAACCTTTTCTTTCAGCATTGCCAGAACACGAATTGTTGGACGCCAACAGTAGAAATCGGCGCAAATGCTTTCGTTAAGTACGGTTAGACATCTGTATTAAAATTCGCTCACAATAGAAGCACGCAAGAACGTCCATCATTATTATAGAGACTGACGATCATCCGAGAAGTAAGACTATTATTTTATACTTTTCAATATTTAACTCTATGTAAAGTACATCAAATATTATTGGGTTTATGACGAACATTAAAATTAAAAAAACCAAAAAAATAAACAAACAAACAATTGCTATTATTAAAAAAGAAAAAAGGCTTTAAATGAATAAAAGTTGTCAATTAATTATAATTTAATCATTAAATAATTCCATTCTTTTTTTAATTAAGTATAGTTTGAATTTTTATATTTAATTTCGCCATCAAATAATCCATATATGTTGATATGCCTCTAAACAAAACAGACAACCAATTAGACCAGCATCAACTTACCAAATCTCCTCTCTCTCTCTCTCTCTCTTATACACAGACATAAAAACATATATATTTTTTTAAACAGCTATATGTTTATAGTAAAGATACACACACATACTGGCTCTCTAGGTTTTAAACTAGGTCTGCTCTAAAAATTGTATTGAGCACTTTATTTAGTTGTTTTGGGTCCTCGCATCAAAGGACTTTGGGTCTTGAACTCGTATGCTGGACGATTATTTTCTGTTAACGTACATGTTCTTGGTTCTTTCTTTTTCCCTTTGGTGTTGGCATGTTTATTTGCAAATCAATATACTGAAGGTTTTCCTAGCGAGTACAGTTTCTTATATTTATAAGATTTTCTATTAGAATGCATACATATATATATATATATATATATATATATATATATATATATATATATATATATATATATATATATATAAGTGAAAGTGGTCAACACTCAGAGGCGATAGGCTGTTTCATGCTAGACGCAATCGTCAAGCTGCGTGTGTTGTTTTTTTTCTCGACTATTTATATATACGGGTCAGTGGTGCATTGTCGGTAGTTCATTCTGGAGGCTATTTTGGCAGGAGTGATTTGTTTATTTAAATTGTTATAGTTTATTCTAACGGTTATTTTGGCGGGATTGGTTTGGTAATTTGTTTATTATTATTTACTTTATTTATTTATTTGGGTTGATTATTTTTACTTGTTTTTGTATTATTTTTTATTTTATTTATTCTATTTCGTCTATTCTAACGGGAGTGGTTTGTTAATTTGTTTATTTGCTTGGTTTAATTTATTTTACTTGTCTTTTTTATTATTACTTTGTTTATTTTTATTTATCCTTTTCAGTTTTCGATTTTTAAGTAAAGTAGTAAAAATGTGTGTGTGTATATATATATATATATATATATATATATATGTGTGTGTGTGTGTGTGTGTGTTTATATGAAAATTATGAATGACATGAATAAAAGACATCATAATGATACGGAAGAAATGTACCTACCTACACTTGAACTGAAAAGGTTAAGATTATACTCTTCAGGAAAGCACCTACACGGGAATTTGTTAAAAAAAAATGTGGACGTTTAAATAAATATAAATTCAGTTTCACGAAACTGTACAAATTAAAACGTAAAAAAAAAAAAAAAAAAAAAATAATAGTCTTAATTTTGTCGATGTGGAGTCATCAATATTTATATTATTCAGACGCGGACTATAATCTTCATCTTTGTTGTTATACCAACGTTTCGATTGTTGTATCCTCCTGCCTTCATCAGTTCTATGTCGATCTGGGTAACCTACAGAGGATTTCGAACTGAACCCTTTTATTTAATCTACTAAGAAAGAAAGATAACGATATGATATTTTGTCTTGTTCTTTTGTAATACTGCTCAGCTTTTATTCGCCTCGATTCTACTTAATCCAAGTATACACTGCCCGACCCAGGAATTGAACTCAGCAGAACAGCCTACCAAAATCTAATCTTGATTTCCTTTTAATTTTCTTGCAATTCTTTATTATTCTTTTAGTTGTAAAATCTTTGGAAAGCTTCCTTTAAACAATACTGGAGACATCATAGAACGAACTTGATATCAAACGTTTACACTTGTGATAATTTTTTGTTTTATTTTAAATCGACGCGTCCGTTGATCGAACCAGAATGAAAAAGTCGTAATATCGGTTAATAATTTTAAAGCAAGCATGAAATTGCTATGTGAAAGATTGGCACAATACAATCCAATCTTGTATTCCTCTCCCCTTAACACCAAAACCCTTTTCGTCTCTGTACCGAACTCAGATTAGTATTAATGAGTTGAATGAAAAAAAAATGATGTAAATTTAAAAAAAAAAGACATATTTGGATTGAAATTTAACAAAGATAATTGAGTTGAAATAATGAGGTAATATAAATTTTAAAAAAGGAATAAATTAAGATAAAAGGGGGAGGAACCAGAGGAAAAACAAAGTAGAAAAGGAAAAGGAAAGTAAAGCAAAAGGAAACGAAAAGGAAATAAAACGAAAAAAAAAAGGAAAAGGAAAGAAAAGAAAAAGGAAATAAGAAAGAAAAGGAAAGTAAAGCAAAAGGAACCGAAAATCGAAAAGGAAAAAGAAAGAAAAAGGAAAAGGAACCGAAAATCGAAAAGGAACAGAAAAACAAAAAGGAAATAAAACGAAAAGAAAAAGGAAATGAGAAAGAAAAGGAAAGTAAAGGGAAAGGAACCGAAAAACAAAAAGGAAAGGAAAAACAAAAAGGAAAGGAAAAACAAAAAGGAAAGGAAAAGGAAAGAGAAAGAAGAAGGAAAGAGAAAGAAGAAGGAAAGAGAAAGAAGAAGGAAAGAGAAAGAAAAAGGAAAGAGAAAGAAAAAGGAAAAAACTAAAATTGAAAACCAAAACTTCGGAGTTTTAAAAAAAAAAGATAAAAAATCCAAAAACGAGAGCGAAGAAAAAGTAACAAATAAGATGATCAAGGAAAAATGTGTAAAACTAAAAACAAGAATGAAAAGGAACGAAATACACAGGCCGGAACGGAGTAGAAAACGAAATCAGAAGAAATCTAAAACGTCAAAGTGAATTTAAATTTAAAAAAATGATTGAAGAAAAATTAGACATATCACACGACATGTTAAAGTAAAAATTCCAAACTGAAAACAGAGAGATGAAATTAGAAGAAATCAAACAGTATAGAGAAAAAAAAAAACAAAAAAAACGAAAGGAAATCGTGCAAAAGAGAAATAAAAAAAATGTCAAAGAAGAAATATATTTGAAGAAACAGAAAGAAAAAAGTAAGGAAACGAAAAATTGCAAAAGAGAAAAACCAAAGATTATTAAAAATCAAAAAAAAATGAAAGCAAACGAGAGGTTATTTTACCCAGATACGTCAACGCTTGAAAGGTTTGTGTTATATAGTTAAGAAACACAAAGCCTTTTTGGAAATATCTTGTTTAAGAAACAGCTGTGAGAATGGGAAGGTGGCGATCAAGTCATTTATTTATAGCTTACTATTTAGTAGTTTAACAATGACGGGTTGGCACACACAGTTCCGTTGGAAAACAACGAAAGTTCATTGTCAAGTTAAGGATTTTTATTCATTTTTCTTATATTTCGGAGAATTTTCCTATACGTATCTAAATATGAATTTCAGCTTTCATAAATCATTATCATTATTTTGCGCTATGTCACTTTCCTCGTTTTTCAAATATCGCATCTTCGCGTGTCATATCGGTCTTTCAGCATCGCGTCTGGTAGTTCTGGTGTGCATCATTTTTTTTTTTAATGTATTTACTATTATTGAAGTTGGGTCGTTTGTTTTTATACTTAATGTTTCTAGTATTTGTAGTAGATATTTTTACATTTTATGTGATATTTTATCAACATTGAATAGCAACAGTCTGTTTCAGGATTTGACGCAATTTTTAGATGGCCAGAAGATTGGATTCAAACATAAAGGGAACGTCTGTCGATGTGTTTGAACTCGATATCCATACTTAGCATTAGTCCTAAAACCCCGGATATTAAAGCACTTTTATATATATTTCTTTTCTGTATATATACTCCTTTCATGGCTCTCCATTTAACATCCTTTCCCTCTTTTCTTCGTTTATAAAAATTGAAAGCTATCCGTTCAGACAAGCTGGTCAGATAGGTAGCTGTTTTTTTAATGAATAACAAATCTCTCTTGTCCTTTGTCATTTGCCTTGGTTTATATTTTCCAAATGATTAAAACTCATTTTTTTTTCCTGTCGAAATATATATATTTCTGATTCTGAGGGCAAACTGTTCTTTCTTTTAATATTTTTTTAAATAACTCTTTCTCGTTTTTCTCGCTCCTAAAATTCATTCAGCATCGAAACTTCTAAACAGAACCACATATTCTGTTGCCTTCAATTTCTTTTCATCTGTGGAAACCTGTAGTAATTCCATCATAAACAATCTTAAAAATGTTTATAACAAAATTTCCTGTTGTTACTATAAAATATTTTGGAGGCGATTTTACTATTCAACTGATTCGGATTTGGTGTCACATTCTTAGACTTCTGATTGTCATCATTCTTCAAATATATTGTTCAGATATATATATTTATATATATATATATATATATATATATATATATATATATATATATATATATGGGGTAATGGATATCGGCTTGGATTTTTGAATCGCAGAGCCAGTTCTTCTCCCTCCAGCTATGGGTTAATAGCAGGACAGACTGGGTTCTATAGCCTTGGATGGCAACTGGTCTAGGAGAAGGACAACTCTGAATTCAAAACCTGCGGAACCGTTTGGGGACCTTGTGGCGCGTGCACCAGGTCTCTGTATTCGGCCCTTCAAAAAGTGTGGATGGTCCTGCACAAGGCCTTCACCACTATAATCAAATCTCATGTGCTGTTGTCGGGCTGTCGGTTTCCTGAAACTGATCTGCTTGACCCTCATACGTCGAATTCGACGCGAGAGTCGATTATATTATATATATATATATATATATATATATATACACTTATCTTATGAGTATAAGAAACTATATTTCTCTCGGAAAAACCTTCGGCATATTGATTTGCAAATAAACAAGCCAACACCAAAGACAATTTACTACGTTTAAGCATTTTATTTAATTTTATTTGTGTTCGAACAAATTGCTTTCTTTTTTGCTGGACAAAGGTGTGCAAGAACTATCCAGATGTTTTATATTTCCGAGCGAAACAGCTATATCTTTAAATGATTATCAAGGATGATTCGATTTTTTCAGGTTAATTGAATAGCTTGCATTATGTGTATGTCTTCATGGTGAACACCATTTGGGAAGCAAAATAAAAGGAAGAAAAGAAGGAAAGAAATTTTCCGTCCTTTGATAGTGACAAATGGTGAAAGGTTTTAAATCTATTTGCCATTGCAATGAAAATTCTAAATAGATAAAAATAGACATGTCGTGGTGGCGGACTTATATTATCGAGAATAGATAACAGTTTTTGGTTTGGCAAAAATTCTAATTGAAAAATTTTCAGAACTAGCTAAACTCCGAACAGAATGGATAACAGCCATTGGTGCTGGCGAAAATCTAATTCTTATATTCGTTTGTAGCTAAACAATGGACAGAAGAGATAAACATTAAACTGTGAAAAACCAAAATTGACCACCCACGAACTAAAGAAAACAAAGGAAAATAGGTTAAGTCTTTGTCGAGGGAAAGATATCGTTAGACAAGGCCTGGGTTTTGTTAGAATGTTTCGATCAGAGCGAAACAATATTTTCTAAGGTTTCATTAGTTGCAAAACGACCATCCATTCTGATAATTGGCGAAAAGATTACTGACGAAGTCCAGATGAGAATTAATTTTTATTCAAAATTATTATAAAATCGCATTGTTCTGTTCTTTTAAATTTTTAAGAAGAGTTAATAGAAAAGAAAAACAAGTTTATACAAAGAGAAAAAAAAAAAAAGAGGAGACAATTCTTTTTTTTCATTTGAGCAAGATATTTTTTAAGAATATCTATAGTCTGGTATATATATATATTATGTTGATAGCAGCCATTGGATGAATGTATAACCATCTGCTAGGCGGAGGTGACATTTGCCTTTCCAGGAGGTCTGCCATATAACTCATTTGGAGAGGATAGGTACATTTGTTAAATAGATGCTTTTTATTTTGCATCAAATTTTGAGAAGGTAGGGGGTAAGAGAAGACTTCCAAAAATGGAATGATAAATTTTTCCTGACCGAAAGCACACTCAACCTTTTGGATTTAGAATTATAGCAAAGGTATTCGTTTCAACAAAGCCCATTCCCAAGGTTTTGGTTTGGCCTCCATATAAGCAAAGTTCAGGCAGCGAGCGAAAATCAGAGTTAAAACAGAGAGTTTCCATTAAAGAGTTTTATATATATATATATATATATATATATATATATATTTATATATATATATATATATATATATATATACTCATCTTCAATCCAAGAACAATTTATTTTTGATATGATCCTATCTCCATACCAGAAAAATAAGTTTTGCGACTATCGCCTTGTAGACAAACCAAGAACCAATTTTAATTGAAAAACAACTTAATATGAAAAACGGATTAACAAAAACGACAAAACAATCCATCTAGAATTTTAATATAGATATATCCCATGTGTCCAATGTGTGTGATATTAAAGAGAGAGAGAGAACAAACCGTGATCCTTGTTTTTTTTTGTTTAATATATTTGTTGTCAAATACAGTTTCATTTGAATTTCAAATTTCAATTATCTCCAGAACGACTTAATATCGATTTCGTCTGCCAAATTTCAATTCTCGTCGCTGGAAACGAATTAACCGAAGACAACAAGACTTTGGTAAGACACTTGAGGCGAGTTATAGAATTTATAGATATCGGATTGCATCATTTCCATGTCACCAAAAGGTTTGAACGTCAGCTGGGTGCCGCGACCAAAACCATTATAAATTAATCGTTAAAGGACAATAGCACGACTTTAATTTCGGACGTCATGTTTGAATCGACACCCGAACAAAGCAATTAAAAGCGATACATAAAATAGGACGTCACATCTGTGTGGTTTTATTTCTTCCGATATTTTAGCTTAAGGCTTTTTCGTAGTTAATATTGGTATATAGTTGGCTTTTGTTTTTAAATAAATTAAAGCTTCAATTTTTTTTTCAGTACTTTTGCAGTTGGATGCCGTTAATTTATTAGTGTTTTTTGAAATAGTAAAGAGTTTCTGAATGAGTCTGAAAATTTCGTGTTTTTAAATTTTTCTATTAAATTTGAATAGACTCAATATTCAATGGATGGATAACACCTATATTTGGGACTTTCTCAAAGTGCAAAAAATAATGGTAATGTTGTTTGTTTCATAACCTAACTTTTTTCAGGTTTCAAATTTGTTTAGATCCATAGAGTTTTTTCATTTGGATTATATTTATTTAATTATAATTATATCTTCCGTCATTTTTAAATTATAAATATATATATATATATATATATATATATATTTGATATATAAATATATTATATGTTAATACATTTTGGAAAACCTTGATAGTTCAACTTATGTTTTTTTTTATTTCTTACCGAGGAATAAATTGGAAATAAAAAAATGAACCAAGTCCAATAACAAGAATAATAAGTCCTGTATTCCCAAAACACAAACGAATTATTCCTCCAAAACGTAAAGTGCTCAATCTACAAATAGAGCGATATACGACACTAATCCTTTGTAACCTACCTAGGTTTCACATAAACGGATCACAAAACAATATATATATATATATATATATATATATATATATATATATATATATATAGAAAAAAGTTTAGTGACAATCACTGTTACTGCTGATAATGCAAGACTCTCCAAATTGATTGAGTTTGTTTATTACAACTATATAAATCATATCAAAATCATCTTAGGCTGACTAAGATATTATCATGTAATATGACTACATATATTTATATTTATATATATATATATATATAATATATATATATCCAATGGTATTTATATTATTCCATTGGCAAACATGTTTTATCCTGTTGGTAAAAAAATAGTTATCCACAGCAGATATGACAAAATTACTGTGATACTTGTTCCCAGCAAAGCGGTTTTTTTTTTATGTTGGGAAATAGATGATAATCATAACAGGAGAATATAATATAATAAATAGTTCAAAACTGCAGTTACGTACAGCAATATTACTGAAATTTTTTTATGTGACTTATAGATTGTCCTAAAAACAAAAAACAAATAACTTTCTTTGGTTTTGGTCTTGAATCCTTTTTCTGAATGTCAAATTATTGGCATAGTATTCTCTATTGATCCTGTATATTGTAAGATAGGCAATAAACCTTGCTTTTTTACATCCTAAAATCTAAGGCCATCACCATCCCTGTAGATAAAACGTTCTTTTAGAAACTACCATGATTAAACCAAAGGAATATAAAAGGCATATATGTCAGACTTTTCCGCCGTGATCAGCTCTGGTACCGATCAGTAGACATCGCAACAGCAAAAGGGAAAATTAGTCATGGAAGTTCATTGAAGAATATTCTCAATTGATGTTTTTTATGTCCAAACGTCTATTTGATTTAAGGCCATTTCCCTGTCATCCATTAACACCCAAACAGAACACGATCAGTGTTTCTCTCGATTTTACAGTTGCCTATATACATCCAGATATTTGTCATCTATAAACTTCCCAACCCCATATTTAATTCATGTGTCCACATTTGCATTGTTGATAAAGCTGATAGCCAGCAAATGTTACGATCAATTGTACAAATTAATTGAAACAATGCTATATTTTCCTTTCTTTCGCCATTCGGTCATCAATTTTAGACTTTCCGTATTGTGACAGAGCGTAATCGATTTCAATCATTTCCTCAGTTTATATTTGTATTGGTGTGCATAATTATGAATCTGTCATTTTCGTTTTTTTATTGTTAATTTTTGACTTTAAAAAATTTGTAATCCTTGATTGCATCAGGGTTTTTCTTATCGGACCCAAACACTATTGTCTCGAGAAATTAAGTCCTAAGGCCATTGTCTGTGAAGATGGACGTTAATCATTACTAAGCGCATGAAAATTGTAACGTCATATTTTCGAAAAATATATTGATTTTTATAAGAGATTTAAATAACAATTTTTAAAATAGAATCAAACGGAAACTCTCCTGATTTAAATCCAATGGAGGTTTTGGCAGTCTGCATGGAACGACTTCGGGAATGGACATACAGAGTGACTATCAAAAGGGTCAACTTTAAATTTAAATCTCATATGAGAAAAAATATCCAAAAAAGGAATAATTTAAGTATTTCAATCTTTCAATTTATTTGCATAGCGTATTTTCTATTCCTGTCAGCATGAATAAACTCCGTCCAGAGCCAAACCTTTTTCAGAAAGCCCTATTAAGCACCAACCATGTCAGATTCTGTCTATTTACAAGAGAAATCACTACTATTTATGATCGAAATCAACATTGAACCGTAAAACTTTTTAATGTTAAATATGGAAAGAAACGATATATTACTAAGAAATTATTCCAGTTTGAATCACATTTTTGAAAAAAATAAGATTTACAGCAATTTAAAACAAGATTTTAATGCATCAAAAATTTTTGTTGTTGGTTTTAAAAAATAAAGAATTCTTTACAAAATAAAAGAGAAAAATGAAGCGTCACATTGTCTTTTTGAAAAAGAACTTAATGCTTCACTTTGAAAATTTATTCAAAAATCAGTATATATTTTAAAAAATTATATAGGGTGACCCCAAAAAACGGGAAAAAATTTTTAACAATCCAATAAAACCAAGAGTGATGGAAGAAAAATATTTTATTCATAGTAATTGAAACCTTAAAACATGCCATTTAAGAAACAATGATGGAATTTTCATTTTTTAAAAATTACGTCCTGTAGATGGCGTCCTCCTGTACGAATGCATTCTTGAAATCTGCTGTTGAGATTCCTCATTGACTGCTGCAACATCTCAGCTGGGATACTGTGAATTTCATCTTGAATTCTAAATGGCGAAATGTTTACTTGCTCAAGGTCACTGTCTCGCAGTGTTGCCACTTTAAGCATTTCTGTTTGGCAATAAAGCACTTCAAAAGCCCATTTTTGGGGTTACAGAGGATTTGGAGCTAGAGCAAATAAAGGATAAAGGAAAGGATGAAGAGAAGGATAGGGGATAGATCAAGGCATCTGGAGATGTCGATTGACATTACATTTGAATAGTTGGAGATTATAGCTATCAGGGAAACAGGAAAAAGGGGAGGGAGTTCCACAGGCGAGAAATGGAGACATGAAGCTATTGGAGTAGAAGAAACGGCTACATTTTAACAGTTTCGACAGTGAAAGGGGTGAGAGCAGGATGCCAGCCTAGTTGAACGCTTAAATTCATGAAGTCTGGGAACCAGTGAAAGCAGCTCATCGGAGCAGTTACCATGAAAGTATTTGTAAAAAAAGACAGAGGGGCGACGGCACGTCTGTGAGAGAGCGACTGCAGACGAGATGCCAGATCAGGGCCAATTATATTGCATATCCGTCTCTGGATTTTATCAAGAACCCTGAGATTTTTTCAGAACAGGGTTCCAGACCATATAATTCAGCCTATTTTGACAAGGAAAATGTTTGAAAATTTAGATTTGAATATCCATTTATTAAAGAATAATAATTCTCTTTCATTTATATGGAATGATTTTCAGATGTTCAATGATTTGTGATTCTTTATATCACCGATAGTAAATTTTTCAAAAGCATTTCAAACATGAGAAAAATGCAATGGTTTTAACTGAATATGGCATAAACAATTATTTTCTTTATGTTGGCCACTTTTTGGATGTGTCATTAAAATAGTTTTCCATTGTATAAAAGATAAAATTAGAAGTTTTAGAAGATAATAGCCATTTTTTTATATTATTATCTTTTTGTTTTATGATTTGCCTGACATTTTTATTTGCAAATGGAGTTGGAATTGACACCAGATGGATTTTGTTCAACCTTTTGAAAATGAGTTCTTTTTGAAGCAATTAGGAAATTATCAAATAACCAAATATCCAGCATTTTAAAAAATTAAGGTTTTCATGGAAAAATTTGGAGAATAATCCCTTAAATAGACAAAAATGGAAACATAAAAAATTAATTTATCTGTTTTTTTTGGAATGTTAATGAAGGATAGCATTTTATTTATGATAAATTATTGGTTAATTTAAAATAATTTATCTGATTCATTAAAAAATTTAAAAGGTTTTTAATATTTTTTACAGAATGGAACATGTTGTTGTACAAATTGACATATAGATATATTGATCTAATTATCGATTTATTTTTTTTATATGTCCAAAAGTAAAATTCGAACCAGCTCAAACCGTCTTAAACGAAGAGGAGGGCGTCCTGTTCATTTAAAAATACAAACTGATTTTTTCAAAATACAACCCATTGTAATTGGGTTTGAGATATTTTCGGAAAATTTTTTTATTTATTTATTCAATAAAAAATAATGATTCATTTAGCAAATTGTTTATGCCTTAGGTATATAAACATATTTGGATTAAAAATATGATTAAAAAAAAAACATTGGAGAAAAAATTTTTAATTAATTTAGCTGATAAATTATTAGTTTAATCTTGATGACATTCAAAGTTCAGTTTCTATAATACTTGATAATAATATAAAGATTTTATATATTTATATATAAAAGCATAGTTAATGCATATCATAAATTTTATAGATTAATTTAAAATTTGGTTTTTTTGACGGCCCATTTTTTTATCATTGAATAAATTGATAAGAAAATGTGGAAGAATTTTTTCAGGTTCAAAAACAAATTTTTTTTTGAAATTTTTAATTATTTTATTGAAATATCAGAATTAAAGATACATAAAGAGAAAAAGAACAAAAGGAAATAACAGAGATTAAATAATTATATTTTTAAAAAAAAAATAGAACAAAATTATTAAGAGGATTAAAAAGAATTTTCTATTTATTTTAAACTAAAATTATGAGAGAAATAGAAAAGATAGTGTAAGAGAAAAGAGAAAGTTCTTTATTAACAATATGAATAAAAGAGATGAAGACATCAGAAGAGATGAGAAGAGACGAGAAAAAATTTTCCCCTTAAAGAGCTAAGAGTGAAATGCAGAGGATAAAAAAGGGAGATATTAAATGATAAATAGTTCCCGAATACAAAACGAAATGGTAAGAAATGGTTTGAGAGAAAGAGGGAAAGAGCAAAGGGATAAAAGTGATAAAATAATTTATTTATTTAGAGTTCAGAGAGAAAATAAAATTTAGAGAAAAGATTGAAAAAATTTTTTTAAAAGAGGATTTTATTATTTGTTGATTTTTTTAGAAAAGATGATTAAATTGTCTTCAAGAAAATAATATAAAAAATATATAATAAATTATGTAGACATATGCATTTAATAAAATAAATAATTAGTGGAAATATAGATAAAAGATAAATATAAATATCGATAAATATGAAATTTTATATATTTGCCTAATATTTAGAATTGTTATAAGAGAGAGATATTAGATAGATATATAAAATAGATATATAGTATCAACATATTATAGATATGAGACCTCCAAAGAAAATTGAAAATTTGAAAAAATAAAAGACAGTTTAAATTAGAGAAAATGAAAAGTTACATAAATTATCAAAAGATTCAAAAATTAATTTAATTATAATTTAGAAAGATAATTTTTTCAATAGAAAAGGAATAAATAACCAGATTATATGGAAAGATATATATAAATAAATGTATAGAATTAAACGATATTTTTTGATTTTTAAAAGTTGAGAGAAAAGTAGAGAGAATTTAATTTTAAAGCGTATGAAGAAAAGAAATCTTAAATATATTTATAGAAAAGAAAAGATATTTAATATAAATTAACTATATTTTTAGATAAAATTTAAGAGAATAAATATGTTAATGTGCTTTTTCTTTAAATATATATATACAGATATATTCAAGAACAATATTATATTATTTATAAAAATATAAATTAAAATATAATATTTTGAAATTTTGAACAAAGAAGAAAAACAGGAAATTTAAAAAGAAAGATTTTTTTAAATTGGTTTTCGCTTATTATTTATTAATAGGTTAATAAGAACGGAGAATTTGGAAGAAAATTTAAAAATATCTCTTTAAAAAACGATTTTAAGCAAAATTTTGATTTTTTTGAATATTTTTCTTTTTTAGAGGGAATAGTTTATAAAAAACATTCACTGATATTCGAAATACAAATTGTTTCATTGTTTTTTTTTATTACAAAGAAAGGTGATAGTATTAAAAGAAAAAAAGATGAATATAAAGAAGGATTTTTTTAAAATTTATTTTTTTTCTTATTTTATAAAATTAAATTTTTTTCTTGGTTTGATTTGAAATTTTATATATATATAATTTAATGATTTAAAATTTAAAGAATTTTAAAATAAAATTTGATATCAAAAAAACATTAAATATTTTAAATATTATATATCATATAGATTATGGTTAAAATTTTAAAAATTAAAATTTTTAAAAAGTATTGAATTTCATCTCTAATATATTCGTAATAAATAAAATAGATCATTAATTTGAAAAAACTTAAAAATTTCTAGTAGTATTTAAGTGTTTTCATTAAAATTGATATAAGTAATGTTATAAATAAATAGTATATATATTTTGAATATGCAAAAATTTCATGATTTAATTTTTTTTGTAAAAATACGAATGGGTTATAAAGGATTATAATATTTTTTGACATTTTGAATATTTTTTTTTTCAACTGGCAAAAAGATTGCCAAAATAAACAATGTTATTTTAAGGTTAGCTTACGAAAAATTTTATATATAAAGTAAATATATATATATATGATTTTAAGGCAGATAAACAAGAAATAATTAAAATATTTAAAATATATACCATCCATGATATAGAACCCGGTCTATATATATATATATATCATAGCAGTGGGGATAAGATGATATTCATAAAAAGAACATTAGGGACGTAAAAAAGAATGCCAAGGATTATGGAATTCAAATATATATGATATATAGAATATATCCATTACTACCATATGAAAATATATATCCTAAATAAAAAAATTAAAATAAATAATTTCGTTGTTTGGGCAGGATTTTTAATTTCATTCACCTTTTTATAATCATTTTAAAACGGAAAAAAGGTACAGTTGGTCATTTTAAATATATAAACATATATTTAATGATATTTTGTCTAAAAATGTATCTGATTTTATGTTCATTGTTTTGGATTCTTATTGTTTGCCTTAGCTGGCGCCATAAAGAGGTGCTAGACTCCTAGATTATGACATCAGGGTGTGGATCTGGGGACAACAGGGAAATAAGAAGTGGTTGCATGTTTTAAAAAATTTCACCAGAAAAATTTTGCCGGATGTAGGAATCGTCATAATTTTAGACCTGTCCTGACAGGGGAAAATAAAGAGAAGAAACAGATTTTAGTTTGAGAAAGAATAAGAATTGTGAAAAAGAATGGTTTTGGTTTGTTTTATGGCATATCAACCTTTCTTTGTCATTTAATGGCGAATGCTTTGTTTGATAAATGATAGAGTGGCAAGAAGATTGTTTTTCACTAGAGGCAGAATGTTAACACGAAAAGATTGGTTGATCCGAGAACTTTGAAAACAACGATGGACACAAGAGTCAAAAAATGATCTACATATGTGCAATAAACAGGTAGCTTTGATTTTGGAAAGATTCCACCTCCTGCATGAGAAACCAACCGGGACATTGTTTTTATGTAACTGATATATGGGTGGAATAGATTTGTACAGAAGTTAAAGAATTTGTTTAATTTCAAAACAGGAAAGGAAAAGAAGAGAGAAACGAAGATCTGTGAATGAGATTTTAAATTTAAAAAGAGGGAAGATAGATAAGAGAGAAGGAAAAGAGAGAAGTTAAGATTTAAGAGAGAAGGAAAGAAAAGATAGATGTTGAAATGAACGAAAAAAGAGGATGAAATTTAAATTTCTAAAATAAGGAAGACATGATCGAGGAGAGGAGAAGAATGTATTAAAAAAGAAGGAAAGAACGAAGGTAGATAAGAGAAGGAAATCCGAAGATAGATGAGAAAGAAAGAAAATTGAGAATAGATAAGAGAGAAGGAAATATGAGAAAGAAGAAAAGAGAAAAAAGGAAGAAGATAAATAAGAAAGAAAGACGGACTATCGGACGATAGGCGAACCTATCTACTCCTATTGAGGAATAAAAATAATCAGTGAATAAAATTTCAGAATGTTAAGCAGAAACGTTGGAGTTGACTTTTGATGAAACCGGAAACCCTATCCTAAACAGGAAACAAGGGATAAACCTCTACTCCTGTCCAAAAGAACGGGGTGAAATGTGAACCAGACGATAGGTGAAATTCTCTATTCTTATTGAGGAAAAAAAATAAAATAAATAAAAACAAACAGGAAACAAAGGAGGAAAATATGCTTATTTTTTTAATGTAATAATTAAAATATTAGCATATTTTAATTTACAGCAATGAAGTAATTTTTCTATTTACTTTGTTCACACTGTTGTCTTCCTTTTTATTGTTATATTCACGACGTTTCGGCCATTGTACGCTCCAGCCTTCTTCATGTGATATAGAATGGAATTTGCTTTATTTAGCCCACGGGGCAGTTCTTGATTTAGTTCCACGTCGCATACCTTTTCTGGATATCTTAGTTTCTGTTAATTCCCTTCAATAATTCAACTCTCCAAGTTTTTTTTTTCTTTCACTTCTGCTGTGGCCAGGGGTTGAATTAAGGAAGAGTTCGGTGTGACATTAAAGATGAGTGCAACTGTCCCAACGAAGTTTGGAGCTTACAACGGCCGAAACGTCGTAAAGATGACGAAGTAAATAATTACAATATCACACATCTGCGAAATATAGACAGATCCTGAAGAAAGCCGGAGCTTACAACGGTCGAAACATCGTAAAGATGACAATGTAAATAGTGCAAATAGTTACAATAATTCATCTCAGAAATAGAGATAGAAGTAATTTTTCATAGAATATGTAATACATTTATTTAATTTATATCAAAGGTAACCGTCCAGGGTATCCAACACCACCGCCTCTACTCAGAAGGATTTGAGGAGTGGACCCCCTGAATGTTGCTGTGTTCCAAGTTTCCCTTGATTCGGTGGTAGCACCTGTCAGGGTCCCAGCTATGGGCAACACCACCTCTAAAAAAAAAAAACTGGGGTCAAAAACACTATGAAAGTCCTAAAATAGGTTTTAATACCAGCACTACTTTTTTTGTAAAAGAATTACCAGTAACAAATTTTTGAAGAAAAAATTATTACATATTACATTACCAGCAATACATTGTTGAAAAAAAAAAAAAAAAAAAAACATTACCAGCAATAAAAATCTTGTCGGAATTGAATAACCCATTGAGATGTTGATATGCCGTAAAACAAACCAAAAGGTAAATAATATTTTCATTAAGTTACCGGTATTAAAACATTTTAATCCTTTTGATAATATTTACTTGGTTAAAATATTTTATTGCTGTTTATTTAATGATTTCTATTCCATTAGTATACAATAAATCCTTTAAAATATTACATATTTTACTTCGCCAGTAGCGGAAATTTAACTTTTCCGAGAACCTTATTCAAACCAATTTCAAACTCGTCTTACGAAAGATAAGAGCAAATACTCTAAAATTAGGTTCAGATTTGATATGAGATCTTTTTTTCTGATTCCTCTATTGTCTAACCGATCAGTTTAAAATAATGTAATACAATATATACAAAAGTGGATGGATACAGCGATGAAAGTGTAAGTCGTATTTTCTAACAGGATATGATTCAAGAAGTGACCAATAAAAAAGGTTATTTGATGTACATTTGACCAAAAGAACCTATCGATAAAAAGCAACTAGTAAGCATTTGCCCAAGCATTTACGTCAATGTCTTGTTTTTTTGTTTGTTTGTTTTTTTTAAGTCACTTTACGTGTAGTCAGAAAATTCGATATAAAAGAAACCTTCCCCAGTGTTCGATTTCTTCATTTTAATGCCAAATAATTCGAGATCTGACCTCAACCATGAGAAGATCACTCGTCGTAAAGAAACCTTTTTGTAATAAAAAAGAAAAAAAAAATGATTCTCGCCTCGGAATATATCGAGATATAAAATTGTAATTAAGACAGGAGAAAAGATTTAAAAAAAAAAAAAAAATTATTACGAATGTCAAAGTCGTTTTCGTGCAAAGTAAAACTCAAGAAGCACTCAGGAGATCAAAAATTCCGCCTAACCTGCTATTCTTCCAAAGACGACGATACATACGTCGATGGTGGTGATTTGAAACAGATATAGCTATTTAATTGAGAATCAGACAAATACTTAAGGACTCTTGACACTGATCCAACACATTTAGGAAGAGGTGGCCGTATGAACGGTCTAGGCTTTTCATGTTTTGAGTGATAATTTAAAAATGTAAATTACTTTTGGCGATGAAGAATAAAGTTTTTTTTTGGTTCCTTTTTTTTTTATTCATTGAAAAGAAACTGAATGTTGTCATTTTTTTTGCGTGTAACTTTTGTCTGAGGTTTAATTTTCTTATAATCTTTGATTTCTTTTATGTTTTCTTTTTAAAATTTTATATCCCCCCCCACTTTTTTTTAAATTCTCTAAAATAACCGACTTTCATATTTTTTTTTATCAATTTTATTTTAACAAGATTTACTTTGTGGTTTTCTTTCTTAGATAAAAGCTTGTAAAATTAAATATTTTTTTCGTTCTTTTGTTTCATTTTCCTGTTCGTCTTTTTTATTATTCATTTTCATCTTTCTTTTTTTCTTTCAATTTCTTTGATTTTAATTTAATTTATAGTCAGTTATTTCTCAGTTTCTCTTACTGTCCTTCGTATATGTTGTCCCCCACCCCAAAAGCTATTTTTTTTTAAATTTGAATCTTTTCTGTATTTTTATATTAGTCTTAACACACGAATTATACATTTTCGGCCTTTCTTTACCATTTTTGTTTTCTTCACATTTGCTGCTGCCTTTTTTTCTCGTTTTTATGTTTTCTGTTTAGTTATTTTTTTTCCTTCAATTAAAAGTCTCTTCCTCTTAAAAGACTTTTAAAAATTCACGTCTTTATTAAAACAAATCTTTAAAAAATATCGTGATTTTTTTTGTTTTACAAAAAAAAATCTTCGACATCTTAAAACTCATATATCTTTAACTTTTTAAATTTCTTTTAAAAATCCTTACATTTAAAAAGCAATCGTTCAATATTTTTCAAATATTAAAAAAAGTAAAAAATTAATTTTAAATTTTTTTACAAAAATTTAGTGCATTAAAAATAATTAAAAACTTTTTAGCATTTTAACTTTTTCTTGATTTTCACAAGAATTTTTAATCTTAGGACATTTTCAAATATTTAAAATCTTTTACTTGCTTTTGTCAAGAGAAATAATCTTGCCAACAAATTTAATTAGATTTTCAGAGGCAATTAATTTCAGAGGCAATTTAATTGGCTTTTATGTTTTTTGCTCAGCACAATTGACCTTTGGCACAAGGCGCAACATCTGGAGTATTCACCACGTTTCGGTTGTCATCAGATGCATGTTGATCCGGGTAACTTACAAGTGCAGTTCGGAATTCCCTGTAGTTTACCCGGATCGACATACACCTGATGAAGGCCGAAGTGCACAACGACCGAAACGTTGTGATAATAGAAACACGATGAAAACAGGAGTTCGAACGTAAATAGTGTAAGTAATTCTTTTACTTTAGTTTTCTGTTCACCAGTTTCTTTAAAATTTTACTCGTAGATTGTTCTGCAGAAGACTGTAGAATGGGTCGGCCTCAACCAGTGTTTCATAACCGATGCGCCCTGAAAGGCAGCCAGATGCACCCCAAGTTAACCTAAGAGTAATTTATTATTTTTATATTAAAAAAATCTTTATTTTTAAACACTAAAGATACCCAACAATGTAATCGTAATTTTCTAAGCATAACTTAGATGTGGCACAAGGTCGAAAGTATGGGGCACCCAATGAAGATCGAACTCACTACCCAGTCGTAATTGTTCAAGCGAGACAAGCTTGCTAATTATTACACCTGGCCAAGGTGCCAAAACGCCAAGCAGCGTAATGTGTTAAAAATGTCAGGAAGAAGCCCAGCAGCATAAGATCTCTTATAATTCAGCTTAACCACTGCGCCCGGGCGCAGTAATACGACCTGGAAGGTAATCAGATGCGCCCCAAGTTAGCAGAAGAGTAATTTAGGAATTATTTTTATATTTAAAAAAAAATCTTTATATTTAAAAAGGTAGACAGACCAAGCAATATAATGTCTTAAAAATAAATGCTTATTTCAGGAGACTTCTTTAAAATTTCCCTGTTTTCATATTTCAGGATTTATTTTTCCTTACTATAATTTACTTCTTTAATTTTTTGTTCACCAGTTTCTTTAAAATGTTCCTTGTCGATTGTTCTGTAGAAGACTGTAATGCGCCTTGAAATGTAACCAGATATGCCCCAAGTTAACAGAAAAGTAATTTATGAATTAGTTTTATATTTAAAAAAAAAGAAAATCTTTATTTTTAAATGCTAGAGAGACTAAGCAATGTAATTGTAATTTTCTAAGTCTAGCTTAGTTGTGGCACAACGTCGAAAGTATGGGGCACCCAGTGAAGATCGAACTCACTACTCAGTCGTAATCGTTCGGGAAGAAGCACAGCAGCATAAGATCTCATATATTTCAGCTTTTCTTAACCGCTGCGCCCGGGCGCAATAATGCGCCCTCAAAGGTAGCCAGATGCGCCCCAAGTTAACAGAAGATTATTAATTATTTTTATATTTAAAAAGCAAGAAAGACCAAGCAATGTAATGTCTTTAAAATAAATGCTTGTTTCAGGAGACAATGTCTTCAAAATTTTCCTACTTTCAAATTTCAGGACTTATTTTTTCCTCGTTATAAATTAAAACACGTCCCAGAGATTTAGTTATTCAACCAGTGCACCCTGAAGTGAAAAATGCCTGAGAAACACTGTACGGTGTAAACAGCATTTTACATTGAGCAATGTATTTTTGGCAAATTTGAACATTCGTGCCTGTAAAAAACTGAGTGTCAAAAGGGCGGTTTTTAAATTAACGCCGCTGTTATTTTAACAACCTTCACTCCTCAGCTATGTTCATTGTTTTTAAAAGTGATGATTAGAATTGTAATAAAGCCTAATGGAATCTTGAAAGTGTTGTATGGATTCTTTTTTTTTTCTATTATCATTTTTTCTAATTTTTGAGATTTTTCCCCATCTTGATAGTCTGTTTAGGCTCTTGTTTGTTAATTTGTTAATTCAGGGCGTACTTGTAGACTAACTAAAACTTTTGGGACGTACTTGGAATTTTAATAAGGAAAAATTACTCATGAAATACGAAAATGGAAAAGAAGACCACTGAAATAAGCATTTATATTTTTAAGACATTACATTGCTTGGTTTTTCTAGCTTTTTAAATAGAAAGATATTTTTAAATATAAAAATAATTCATAAATTACACTTCTGCTTACTTAGGACGCATCTGGCTACCTTTCAGAGCACATTAGCGCGCCCGGACACACCGGTTGAGAAACACTGGTATTGGATATGATTTCCAGGAGTTGGGGCCGAGATTGGGTTTATTTTTTTGTAATATTGTATTGTTTGTAATTTATTAACATTTTGAGATTGTAATAATGGTCACCCTTGGAAATCATATTTCCTGCAAACGAATGTACATACATATATAAATTCATTTTCATCATATGCCATATGAGAGGCATGATAATTACGCAACAGCTCAGTAGTAATTTTTTTTTTTGTTACTAACGACATTTTCTTTATATTTGTTTAACTATTTTACGAGTAAATGAAGAGAAATTCTGTTGTACGAATGATCATCTCTGAGCCATATTCTTTTTAAGACGGGGTGGGGGACATAGATCTCTACAACTGCTTTGTTGTAGCTCTTAGTAATTATATATATATATATATATATATATATATTTATTATGCCTTTAAACTCCTTGAGGAACAAAGGGCCGCAAGATATCGTTGCGGATTCTGTAACAAGCCATTTTTAAGTAAGTAGCTTGTTAGCTTACTGCACAACCCCAACCTGGAGGATCAGGTTTGGAATTCAGTGCTCCCAACCCGGTCTTGTTCTGCTATTTACCATAACTGACGGTGGGGGAAGAAAAGGATAGCACAATAAACTGAATGTAATGGATTCGACTGGAATTCGAACTCGGCTCTCCGATTCCTCAATCCGAGCTGCTATCCATTACTCCACCGTGCCTCCTCAGCTCTTAGCAATAATATATGTTAAATATGAGTTATCTTTTTATTTCTATTTTTTTCTAATTTCTTACTAAACACCATCAGATTTCATTTCCTTCTATATTGTTCTACCACAAGTTTGTGTTGTAGGAAATTGAATTTAATGATTTCGTTTAGCCAGATCATTTTTTTTAAATTCTTTTAAATTGTATGTTGTGTTTGCTATTTATTCAAACTTGAAAAGAAATCATACTGATATTGGGAAAATGTGTGTGAGAGAGACAACAATTTGAAATGTGTATCTGTAAAGAGTTATGTAGAAACATTAAATTTAGATCAGTTTTAATTTGGGCATTAAATTTTTCTTTTGCGTGTAGGAAGATGTTTCTATTAATAAAGTCCGACTGGACTAAAAGAAATAGGTTTGAAAAAAGGAAAGGAAAACCTGAGAGTAAGATAATAGAAAAATAAGTGAAAAAAAATGCGATGGAATTTAAAATATTAATGAAAAAAAAAACAGAATAAAGAAGAAATATAAAAAGATGGAGAATAATGAAAAAAAAATATTCAGAAAACGGAAGTATAACCTCCCCCCACCAAAAAAAAAAAAACACGAAATGTTGAAAAAAAAGAAAGAAAGAGAAAGACGACGAAAAAGAAGAAAGAAAGAGAAAGACGACGAAAAAGAAGAAAGAAAGAGAAAGACGACGAAAAAGAAGAAAGACGACGAAAAAGAAGAAAGACGACGAAAAAAATAAAAGAAAGACGAAAAGAAAAAAAAAAAAAACGAAAAAAGAAAAGAGAAAGAAAGACGAGAAGAAAAGAAAAAACGACGAAAAGAAGAAAGAAAGACCTAAGACGAAAAAAAGAAAAAAAGACGAAAAAAATAAAGAAAAAAGAAATTTTTAAGAAAGACGACGAAAAGAAGAAAAAAGACGAAAAGAAAAAGCGGGCGAAAGAAAGAAGAAAGAAAAGAAAAAAATTCATAAAGATAAAAGAAGAAAGACGAAAAGATTTTGAAAATTCAGAAAAACGACGAAAAATGAAAAGAAAGACAAAAAAAAAGAAAACAAAAAGAGTTTTAAAAAAAAGAAGAAAAAGAGAAAAAAAGGAAGAAAAGAGAAAAACGGCGAAGAAAAACGACGGCGAAGTTTTTTAAAGACGGCGAAAAAGAGAAATTCTCATTTAAAGAAAGAGAAGAAGAAAAAACATCTGGCAAGAAAAAGAACGATCCTAAGAAAAGAAAAAATTTTGTAAAAAAGAAAGAAAGAGAAAGACGGCGAAGAAAAAGAAAGAAAGAGAAAGACGGCGAAGAAAAAGAAAGAAAGAAAGAAAGAGAACGACGGAGAAGGAAAAGAAAGAAAGAGAATGACGGCGAAGAAAGAGAAAGAGACATAAACGACGACGACGAAAAAAAAAAAAAATACGATTATCTTCTAAAAAATATTGTCGCTCACCCACCAAATACCATACTGACGTGGAAATCAAAAAGTTAGTGTCTACTGGTGCAATACAATCTTCCTATCCATTTTTTTCTCCATCTAGCCTTGTGTCGTTGTATGCAAAGTTTATTGAATATCGTTGTTCGTGAAGATAACAACGAATCAAAGAAAAGAGGAATAACATTTAAAAAAGAAAAAAAAACAACAACAAATGAATATTTTACGAACTCAATGCTGAGATGGCCAGAGAACAGCTTTTGAAAATACAGCATAAAAAGACGAGGACGAGTCAAGAGAAATATTTGTTGCCAATTCATTACCATTAAATCCGCCTCCGTTTTTAATTTACGTTTATAAATCCTAGGAAGAAGATTAAAGAAGGATAAATTATCCAAACACCGGACTCGCAATGGAGAGGGGAATAGGAAGACATTTAGAAAAAAAAGAAAAAAAAAGAAAGAAAATAAAGGAAGAAAGAAAAAGAAAAACGATTGAAGCCACCCAAATTAACAAAAGAAGTCAACCATTGCCTCCTGGACCCACAATCACCACTTTCTCATGATCCTAGGACTCAAGGTAGGATTAGTTTTATTTTTAGACGAGCAAAGACTTGAAAATAATAAAAAAAAAAAGGAGAGGAGAAGAAGAAACGGGCATATTTACTCGATTTAGGACTATAAATTCAAATACATTGATTTCTCCTCGCGAGAGATAGTTACAAAAATGGGGAGTTGGAGGTAAAATAATCACCAAAATAAATATGATCGATTCGTGAAGACAAGACTAAAGCTTGACCCCACCCACTGGGAAAGTCTTGTCACCCTGATTGCAGCATGAGATATCATTCTTTAATTACTCAGATGACCTCTTTCTGATAAGGTTTTCACCCGGAAATATGTTCTGAATTCAGTTATCATAAGTTCAGGTGGTGTCAGGGTTAAAATCTTGGAACGTGAAATCGACGAGTTCAAATTCCAATTGTTACTTTCACTTTCACTCTTGGGGAAAGAGTATGAATACATACTCCCCAGCTACGGATTAAATATAACATGCGTAGGTATCAGAGAAGAACAAAAGCTCAAGTAATCCTGGTAAAGTACATAACTCTAAGTTTTGTTCAGCATAGTTGTATTATAAACCACATGTTGGATGCCGGTGTTGAAGAAAAAAAAAAACAGATTTAACTGAGCAGACAGGCATGCTAGAAAACAAGCACCCTTGTTGAAAAGGGAAAATCACGCTGATTTCCAGTGCGCCTTCAAGTTGAAACAGCTTGTATTTAATGTTATCCCGCTTTTCGGTAAACTTAAAAATGACCGCCTTATTCTCCTGAATGTTTTAGTCTTGACTGGACTCTTGTCGAGAGTAACAAATGGTGTAACAGCTATTTTCTGTGATTATTTATTTTATTTAAATACCAGGACCACTCCCGTAAAAATTAGGAACAGTAGCACAAATTCCAGTCGAATCCATTCACGTACGTGCTAAAACCCTGGGAAAGTTGTGGATCCTCCTCTTCTCCCCCAGCTATGGGTAAATAGCAGGACAGAGAGTTCTGTAGCCTTGGATGGCAACTGGTATACCGCAGAAGAAAATAGGTATTGGGAAATATCAGGTGGCTCGGAATTATTAATTGATGTACTGAGTTCCAATTCCACTTGGATTCGTTATATTCACAATGAAAAATGCCCTGAGAAAGGTATGAATCCACATCTTCTCCCCCAGCTATAGGTTAATTAAAGACTTATATCACTAAACCATTATCTCAAAAAAAAAATTCTTACAATCTAAAAAATATTTTTCTGGCTTTGAAATAACCTGTAAAAAATGAATCAATAAATCTTTTTGCTTTATACTTTTCTTAGTTTCTATATGACCTCTTTCATTAATGCTTGTTACATTGATATTTCTATATCACTCTTGAGTCTGGTTTTCATTAAAGAAAGTTTTCCCAATCAAAAAATTTAATCATTCCATGCAAGGTCAGGTGAATATAGCCATTGTTATTCCTGTCTTATTCTTGCTGTATGCTGAATAGTATTGTCGTATTGGAGAACAAAATTTTCCTTTAATCCACTGTTTATGCTGCCATGCAAAAACTAAGGTAAGTGTAATCCAAATTTATTTTTAACTGCCACATATGATTAGTACTTAGGATGTACATTTGTCATGAAATTGGTTCCCAAAAACGGAAATTACTTATGACACATCCTAATCTATTTATCAATCATATGTTAGTATATTCTATTTAACTGCCACATATGTTTAATAGTTTATGTTGATATATGTTGTCATTGGAAATCAATCATGAATGATGTGATAAGAAGCAACAATAAAGACAAAAACTATGAAGGAAAATACTTCCTCTAAAAATTCAAAACAATTAAATCTAGAAACACTCACAGAATTCATTTTAGTTCAATGTAATAATAAATAAATTAATACACAGAAGAAGATTCAGCTTACAATTAGTAGTTAGGCTGATACATTTGTTATTACAATTGGTTTCCAAAGAATCCAATTACTTATGACTCAATAGTTTGCTTTGCCAAAATCCTTTATTTCTAGTGTAATTTTCAGTGAAGTTTGTTGACAGTAGGAAGACTTAAGAATGTATCTTTATTGAATAAACTCTGATTTATTCTTTTCTATTTAAAATGCAAGATTTATTTAATATTTTACTTTCATGATTTACACTATCATTAACAACGTCAGAACATAGTGACTTGTTTTGATATAAAATTTGACCAGACTTCACCATTGACAATGTCAGAACATAGTGGCTTGTTTTTTTGATATAAACTCTTGACCAGACTTCATGATTTGCTGAAAAATGTGATCTCAAATGTGATAAATTTTAATGTAGCAAGTCAAAATTTGAGGATACATTTTATACAACAGTAACTTATATAAAAAAAAAAAAATAATTCTCTTTTATTTAATTTCAAAGTTTTGAAAATGGTACCATTTTTTTCCAAATCTGATTATTATCCTTTTACCAGTTCCTTGATTTTGTAACTGTCATTTCCATCAATATAAACATTAGTATAAAAAAAATTAAACTAGATTATTTTTACAGTGTTGTTTTGCAATGTATTTGCTCTGTATTAAAATGAATATTTACATTTAAATAGTATTTTACATTATTGTTTGGTTTCATTTCGTTTTTTTACATTCCAGTTTTAGATAAATCGTAACAAAATGGAATTCTGGGAAATAAAGAATGTGGCACTTGTTTAAATAGAATATACCAAATTTGCAAGTCTGTTTATTGCTGTAAAAATGTGATACAGTTCAGACTTCAATGTACTAATATACTTAATATTTGGCAAACTGTATTCAGGTTTAAAAATAAGTTGTTATCTTACAAACCCTGACTTGAAATTCTGAATTATTTGAAAGCTAAGAAAATAGATGAAGTAATAAGAAATAACAATTTTTTATAGTCTGAAATCATTTTTATATCAGGAAATCAGTAATTAATTTCTTTTTTATTATTTGATATGATCAGGAGAAGAGAAATATTGCTGGTACCTGATCAAAATTTGATTCTTTCATTATCTTCAGTCAGAATATATTTATTAAGCATATAAAACTTTGATATAAAATTAGTGTCCATAATTGTTAAAATTAGTGAAGAACTAGTCCAATGGTTAAAGATTTCAGACAGGTGATTATGAGTTTAAGTTTTAAATTTTTAAATGGTGAGATTTATAAAATCAGTCACATATTAAGATAAATAGTTAGCTTTGAATCTTAATTTTATTCCTGAATAATAATTTATCCATTATTACTCATTTGATTAATTAAATTTGGAAGCTGTTGATGATGTCATTAGGAAGAGAAAATTGGACACTGTCAATACTTGAAAATAATTGGGCATATTATTCAGTCAGCTTTTAATCATCTTTTGTGAATGTTTCTGTTTTAGATATATATATACAGGGTGTATCAAAAAAACTTTTTCAAACTCTGGAGGCAGGTTCCACATGCCAAAACAAAGACAAAAGTTCTTATAAACATATTTCTGCAAATCCTACATTTTTTTTTGTATTAAAAAAAAAGTTTACAGTAGATATACTGTGTTGCCATGTAGACTAGGTTACATTTATCATTCATGTACATTTTTGGCTAAATGTCTTCAAAAATTAATGTTTGTAAATAGTGAGTTAACTGAAAGTGTTCTGTTTAAAATGGCAGGCAGATATAATTTTTTTTACATGCGGCTGTGCAAATGGTAATGGATGCAAGGCTGCACAGCTGTGCAGATGGTGTTTCCAGACTGAAGACAGCTAGATCCCATAGTTGGTTCAGTTCTAAATTTATGAATTCATAGTGCCAGTCCACTAAGTATGAAGAAGTATGATCTTCACTAAGAGCTACAAGCTTACTATTCATTTTTAAGCCATTTTTAACTATTGATCTTAGAAAGCATTTGTACACAAAACTAACAATTTTGATATTTCAGAATGAGATTGGCATCATGTTTGGCATCCATATGAAAGTCTCAATTTGATAAGGCAATTTAAAACACTTGTGTTCTTA